GCATCTTTATAGATTTAATAAAGAAGATAGAATTCTTTGGGAAACAGTAAACTTTATTGTGTAGATTTTCTACACTGGTTCCCCAGCTCGTCTTTAATCAACGAGAGTGCAAAAACAATTTACTTTTAAGCCGAGTCTGACAAAAGAATCTATGATTGGCTAAGGTCATGTTCTCGGGATTGATTTAGCCAGTTTGAATCTGTCCTTAACGAATTTATATGTAACATTTGGATCAATATGCCGGTTGATGAATGCAGTGAAGCGACGTGACCATCTGTCCCAGGTGGCCATACACACGCTGGACACAGGGCACAACTTTGCATGGGAAAACACTCCCATGGTTCGCGCCTACCCAATAACGAGGGGTCGCGAATTCCTGGAGGCAATGCACTCAGATGAGGCATGCATCAACCGGCATATCGATTTTGATGCCACATACAAAATCGTTAAGAACATATTCAAACTGGCTCAACCAATCCCAAGAAGATGACTTTAGGCAATCATAGAATCCTTTGTCAGATTCGGTTTAAAATTCAATTGTTTTTGCACGCTTGTTGTCTGAAGACGAGCTGGGGAACCAGCATCGAAAATAAACACAGCAAAATTTACTGTTTCTTAAAGAATTCTACCTTCCTAATATATACATGTATATATTCTTTGAAGGCAAACACGGAACGAGTGGGAGCCGTAACGCGATCAGTGTGCGCCATTCTACCGGTATGTATATGACGTAAATGAGATGGTACCGACAAAGACCAGAGAAGACCGTCATCAACCAGGCATACCCCCAAGTGTGGGGCACTTGAGAGTCGAACCCAGGATCTTTGGTCATTGAGCTCGACACTCTACCATTGAAGTTCGGGCCCGTTGTCCTGTCGGTTGTGATCGGGAATATCAATTATGACATGAGGGGGTTCACCGATCAGGTTACGGAACGTGCTCGTTCCGTCATACTAGAACCGTCGTAGGCAATCGTCCAGCGACCAATAGTAGACGTAAATGAGATGGTACTGTCAAAAACAAGGGAGACCGGAATGATCATTTTTGGCTTAATAGCTGTCATCGGACAAAAGATCCCGGGTTCGAATGTCATGTGATCGTCGATACAAGCGAAGATGGGAGGTGCATGCCGGCCATCAAGCAATTAGCGCACCAGCGGGCAACAATCCTTGAAGAAGGGGAGCCTAGTTAATTGCTATAGGTATGCGGTAGCATAGCGACTGCATCCTATAAGTACTGCAGCTTCCTGTGCACGAGTCACCCTTTTCTGCCACTGCCTCTGATGATGGGTTCAAGTAAGAATCCGAAACGTCGGGCAAACAAAGCCCTTGTTCCAGCGATCGCTTCTTCTTCTGTCAAGTGATCCACACCTGAGGTTTGATATGACAGATTGATGATGGCTAATAGGCCAGAAATGGCCATTCTGGTCTCACTTGTCTTCTTCGGTATTATCTCCTCCACTTCTACTATTATTCGATGTGCGACTGCCTGCGAGGGTTCTAGTATGAGATCCAAGGTACAATGGAACGAGCACATCCCGTAACCTGATCGGTGAAAGTTTATCTGTCATAATATGTGTATGAAAATCTATATGTATCCAAATATAATGTGTGATATGTCTCATACAATGATGACCAAAAGTCTCAAACGTTATGCTACCTCGACTAGAAAGTTTTGCTTAAGCAAGGTTTTAATTCTGATCCTCATACAGCATAAACCAAAAATATTTCGGTCGCTCTAGAATGTCGGCCTTTGAATGCGCCGATTTCAAAAACCATAACTTCGAGAAATGACTGCCTAATCTGTATGCATGCTTTCCATTGATGTTTGGTGCCCATATAACTCCAAACATATTTTACAGAAAGCATGCATGAAAGCATCCCTTCTTTTAGTCATTTGCTAGCAAATGCCGTCTTCTTAAGAACTGTTATTGGAGGAAACTGTGGCTTTCGGTTTAACAAAAGCATGCAATTACTAGATTTCTCAAGGCTGTGAAATATCTACTCAAGCAGCCTTGTACCTTTGCGTTTATTTATGCTCCTTATTGGGCACATAACTTAGTCTATCTCAGCTATAAAGCATAAAGAAGTGTGTGATTTTTATAAATGGAAAGCGGGCCTCTTCTAGTTTGGAAGACCCAAACGTATGTGGCGTGGCATGTCGAATTCAAGATTACTCAGAAATTTTAAAAAAAGTTTTAAACAGAAAAATACCTCTACCTTTCGTAGGAAGAAGGCATAATTACATGCACAACAAGTAAGATAAAGAATATTTTTGCGCGCTCCTTCTATAAGGTATATTCTAAATAATTAAGACATCCGAAACCAATAGGACAAAATCATGTCACCTATTTACTTGCCGTCTAGCGGGTGTGATTCTTGAAAGTGGACAGAAAGACGGGCGTTCAGAAGGTGGCCGCCGGTCGTGACTGAAAAAGTTTGGGATTGTGTCGCATGATAACCAATATTACAACTCTTCCTTAAGTTGACCATATTGCATCACATTTCTATTGACGTTTTATGAGACACATTTGCTCGCTAGTATATCCGCCTGGCATCCCTCCCCCCCCCGCAGCCTGCAGTGCAAGAAGCCTAATCGTTGCCGTTCCCAGTCGACCTCCGGCAGACCGGACTTCTGCGTAATAGGCCTGGAGGTGCGCGTGGAGGTGTCAGCTCTGCGCCCGACGAGGCAGCGACGTGTGTGGTCGTGGACTCATGCAAATATCATACCCAACTGGCCATTGTCGTCGCCGTCGCCGCCGCTGTAAGTTTTGAGCGCGTGCGGAGGCGGCGTAATAGCCGACTGGTCTCGCGCGCTCACACAGGCAATCTGGAGGCCACCCGCAGCGGATAACTGTATGCCAACTGCGTCAACGGTCTGCACTGATGGTCCGGTCCACCAAGCGCATGATCCCCAGCTTCGCCATTGCAGTAGCTGCAATTCTGTCTGGCGAAATGGTTAGAGTGGATTTAGTTTTGCTAAGGCATACTAAAATAGCATGAGACCCGTTAGGTCCTCCCAGGCAATGTAACAGAGGATGAGATGGAATGCACAGAGGGGGGGGGGAAGAGGAGATCGTGTATGCGTGTGTGTGTGCCTGGATTTTTAAACAGGAAAAGTCTTTGTTCAAAAATCCTCCAAACGACGCGGTTTGAAAGCAGGCGACTGTGTATCCCTGGATGTTTGAACTCAACAGCCAACATGTCGCCCGGAGGGTGTCTCCAAGCGGTACCAATGAGCAATCAGTCCAGATCTCTGTGTGAGAGGAAAATTGTACGATTCTTGCTTTAAATGAACTCCTTCTCCAGGGTTGAATAGTAGGGAGGAAATTGCGGCTCGGGTGAGAGATATAGCATGACGATTATGGTGGGGAAGAAGAAGATAATGGTGGTAGTAATGATGATGATGCTGATGATGATGATGCGGCGGAGGAGGAGGATGAGGAGGAGAAGAAGAAGAAGAAGAAGAAGAAGAAGAAGAATGAGGAGGAGGAGGAAGAAGAAGAAGAAGAAGAAGAAGAAGAAGAAGAAGAAGTCCCGTCAGGTTTACGCCAAGCTACTTCAGCAACGCAGATGATCTAAATCGTATTTTATTGGATGCAGGCGACTTAGCGGGAACTGATAGTACATTTCGCAAACGGAATTACAATCCTACTTTAGAAGCTTAGATCCAGCAATGCTGGAGATTTTGTGGCCTTCTCGGGTCTAGCAATTTGTCGGTTACCGAAAAATGCACTGCCCCAGAGTTTTCGGTCTTTGTGAGTTTGTCACTGATGCTATTGTCTTGTCCAAGCAGCGATCATAGTGGACTTAGGGGAGTGGTCGTTTATTCGAAGGTGTCATTCGCATAGCATAGTCTTCACTCGGGCGAACGGTGGGCAATAACCTTCTTGGAAAGAAGGGCAGATAGAAGTGAAGGGGGAAATAGAAGTATGGGGAGTGAAGACTGTAGTGGTAGTAGTACTAGTAATAGTAGTAGTAGTAGTATTAGCGTCAGCAGTATTAGTAGTAGTAGTATTAGTAGTAGTAGTAGTAGTAGTGGTGGTAGTAGTAGTAGTAGTAGTACTAGTAGTAGTAGTAGCGGTAGCAGTATTAATGGTAGTAGTAGTAGTAGTAGTAGTAGTAGTAGTAGTAGTAGTAGTAGTAGTAGTAGTAGTAGTAGTAGTAGTAGTAGTAGTAGTAGTAGTAGTAGTAGTAGTAGTAGTAGTAGTAAAAGTAGTAGTAGTAGTAGTAGTAATGGTGGTAGTTGTAGTAGTAGTTGTAGTAGTAGTAGTAGTAGGAGGAGGACGAGGAGGACGAGGACGAGGATGAGGAGGACGAGGAGGACCACGACTACGACGACAATGACGTAATATCAGCGTAAATGCTTATGTTAACCTTCCGCTTTTGACAACTGTATACGACTTTACAGACTCTGGTGATTGGCCACTCCCCCACACCCAAAATAAGTTCCGTTGTTTTGACGCAAATTCCTCACGTACGTGTGAAAATTATCTGTAAATTACAACCTACTAATCAGCCTCATTTCTCCGTTTTAGAGAATTCTACAAAGGTCATAATTTTTGGCTCAGAAAACTATTATTTCAACGGAAATAAGCATGCAATAGAATCCACATCGTGCCTGACTTTTATCCACTACTAATTATGAGTCCAGAGTTGTCCACAAAACCTACGGAGGGGGTGGCGTTGTGTGCCGCCGCAATGCCGAAGGCAATGCAACTGGTATCGAGCAGACTAACCACGGTGACTGTATGAGCTTCATAGAAAAGGGTTTCTTGTCAGTACTCACCGACTCCTTCGTGGAGCGAGAGATCGGCGATAGCTTTGTGAACAGCCTCCGTCTCCATTAGACTGAGGAAACTGGAGTTTGCTACAGGTCGCCCCTTTGGCCAGAGACTGCCTCCAGTTGTCGTC